CTCTCCATAAATTTCCCAGCCTTCACATGCTCCACATCCTACATGTTATGATTCTTGCCTGAACTCAGGTTTGTTCTCTTTCTGACTGAGTGTAGGAATCTCAAACAGTTTATTTCATAGTTAAAATTATTAATTTCTACTGGGGCTATAGATATTCTGACAATAATGCAGAGAAGTGAGGAGATGAGGCCTTTCTTAATTCTGGTAGAATTGTCTTCTTTTCAAAACCATTCACAACTTGGCATTTAGGATTAGAGAAGTTTAAGACTTAATTCCCATAAGCTGGGTTGAAAACTAAACCTAAGGTGTACAGTGCAAATGGATGTTACAACACCCGAACAGAAAGAAAGATTTGGATTTTTCCAGCAGCTTCGTCTGGATCCTGTCCATCTTCTTCCTTGCTTTTTCTTATCTATGCTTCAAGAAAATTGTTTATACAAGGCCAGAAGACAATTTAGTCTCAAACTAAGTGAATTTTTCTTCATCATTCTGGGAACTAAAGTGAAAAATAAAACCCCAACCACAAAACACTTGTTTTTCAGAACAAAAAATATTTCTATTGCTTACTTTGGAAGCTAAATTAAAAAATCAATTCTTTGCACTGCCATAACATATAATCAGTCTCATTGACATAAATTCACTGAAGTACACAAATTAATTGAAAACTATATTCAGCTGTTATTGCTGAGATCTGCCACAAGTAATTTTAGAATCACTTATTGATCTTCCATTATTAAGATTCAGAAAAGCAGTAATTTTCTAATCTGAACTCTTCTGAATTCATTCACAATAAAAATAATTGCCATACCCCTATTGAAATGAAATACTCAGAAAAAACAATAACAAATTGCCCCAAATATTGCCCCAATGTAGAAAGAGATTTTCTCCTCAGAACTTCTGGGGGGTTTTTTTGTTTGTTTTTTGGGGGGGGGGGTTTGGGTTTTTTTGGGTTTTTTTGGGTTTTGGGGTTTTTTTTGTTTGGTGGGGTTTTTTTGTTTGTTTGTTTTTGTGGAGGATGAGCTGTTTGTTTGAGTGGCTTCTTTTTAAACTTTTTAAGCCACATTATTTTCATCCCTTTTTTTAGGATAATGACAGAAATGTATGACAAAACTACTAAATAAACACACTTCTCTAAGATAAAAAATCAACTGTATAGTCATATATGCATAACAGAATGAGTTGGTTTATACACAAGAAATCAGTCTCATTGTGTTCACTCAAAACATGCCTATAATTTTCTGACTTTCTCTCCTTTAAAATTCTCACTGAGAAACGAATGGAAATTGAATTAATTATATATACATCCAATTTACTTCCCTTTGACTGTCATTGCCTTATTTTATCTGACAATTATAAATGATCCATATCAGTACAGGAAGACTGGTAGCCAGGGTTTTTAAATTAATATTACTTCTTTTACTGTATTTTTGTAACTCTGGTTAGATAATTTTTTATGAAGTCTATAAGAAACAGAGAATATAGCTGTCGTATCTGGGAGAAAAAACCCACTGAACACCAGTGTTTCCTATCAAAGCAGAAAATAGCTGAACATTGAATATTTCTACCTGCGCCTGAAAATATTCAGCAAAGAGATGTTGCACACATCAAAAATATTTCTTCTCCATGAATATCCCAGCTCAGCTGCCAGCTGAGGACAGGTCTATGGTAGCTGCATTGCTGGCCTGGGTTCATTAGCAGTAGATTTGGGCTTGTCAATGAATAAAACACTCTGGCTCCTGCAAAGGCTTATGGCAGTTTACACCATCTGTAAGAGTTTATATTTTTATAAGTTACACAAAATACAAGTACAGCAAAATTGTGCCATTTCCAGGCTTCTATTGGATGTTGTATCTACACTACAGGATCCTTTCAAAGCAACTTTTCAAATGGAGCACATTAGCAACTCTGGAGTACTTTAGCAACCTGCAGTTAATTGACCAACAAAGTTTTGTCTCTATGTTTAGGTACATACATTGGTGGGAAGGTGGGACTAGGCGGAAATTTCTCTCGTTGCATCTAAAATTAAATCAGGGAAGATAATGCAATCCTCATCTTTTCCATTTTTGTCACTGTTCAATGTTGAAAACTGTAGGAGAAAGTCTATTACCCTGGAAATTCATAAGTTGGCATGCATAACATGGCTTTTTGGTTTTATTTTCTTCAGTTTAACTAATAATGTGTTTCTCTAGTGCAGAAGTATTATCCAAAATTTGAAGTCTGTGATAAATTATTGTACTATAGAGGATATAGAGGATATAATGAACTATCGAGCAGTCAAAAGTCAGCAAAAGGCAGTATGATAAATCTGTTTTGAGTCCACTTTTTTGCATGAAAAAGGATGGCAATATGAAAATGAGAGAAAGGTCAGAAAAAAAGAAATTTCATTTACCTTTTGATTTTTAAACTGCCACTGTTTATACTTTTACTAACACACTGGCTTGCCTTTATAGTCAATAGAGACAAATGGGTAGTTCCAGAACACAATTCCATTGACTGATTTTAGAACTTTTTGATGAAATTAACTGTGTCCTTCAGATACATATTACTAATCACTGAGAATAAGCCAAGATGCTTAACTCCAATGTAGCTAGTACTTTGGTTTTATGAATCTCACATAGAGTAATTGAAATTCAAAATGCCAAAGGCTCCTCCCTATAAAGGAACTTTTTTAATGTGGAATATTTGTGACCTTGCTGACCTTTCCTATGACCTTGCTGCATACACTGAACACTATAAGCCCTTTGGAAGGGGCTGCTATATTTCACTTTGTCTGTCACAACTCATCACGGTTTGATAGATAAAGGATAGGAACTGTAGCTTACAATCAGAGATGACAGGTCCTCTTAGCCATTCCTTTGCCCTCAGCCAAGAGAAGGTATATCTTGCATCAGATTTGTCAAATTGTACTTTTCCATGAAAGTAGTTAAATGATATTATGAATTATTACTGGGAAAAAAACCAACCATAACAGGAAACATAACTGTGATGTTCAGCTACCCTAGACTTGTGAATAGGTGGGCTCTTGAGAATAAAAATCCTGACAAAGCTGTATTCAAATTCTTTGGTCATTCTAACTGCAGTAGTGGTAAAAAGTTCCTACATTGCATTTTATGGCCATGATGGTTTTATATGAAACCTACACCCATTATTCCAGTGATTTGTATGGGACAGAAATATCTGTAGATCTAGATGGTTAATGTTCAGGCTAATGGGAGATACAGTGTAATAGCCTGCCCTTAATTCACTGACTTTTTTCAAAGATCCAGCTCTCTGTGCAGCCTATTAATCTACTAATGAGTCAAACCATTTCTAAAGAATACTGGCATCAATTCCAGCATTGCAAGAATTTCTTTCCATCTCACTGCTTTTCTTCAATGTCAAAGCACTATCCATGGCATCAAGCTAGTCCATTTTAAGAAGTGCTTTCAGAAAGGATGTCCTTATCAGGAAAGGATTTTTATTTAACAGGAAAAAATATACACAGCATACAGCACAGATGAACTAAAATTTAATGAAAAAAAAAATCCATTGATATTAAAAAAAACCCAAACAGTTTGTTTCATTTCCAGTACCATATCACAGTTCTACAGGATATTTTCATATTGGAAAATTGAAAAGGTTTAGAGGAATGGTTCTGACATAATTTGTTTCCATAGCTAATCCTGAGTACTACCTACACAGAGTAACGGGAAGTGTTGCAGACAGCTATGGGCTCTCTGCATAGATCTTTTTGAATTGCATTTCTTTTCCTCCCTTTTGAGCTATTTAATTACCTTTCTTCAGTTACCATATCTTTGTGTCAGGTTCTGCAACTATCCTGTAAAACAATAATATCCTTTATAAATAGAATGGGAAAAATAATTTTTTCAGCCAGCAGAGATAAGACAGCTTATACATTACATCTGAAAAATGTATTTTTCAGAGAGAAATGAGGCTTTCATAAATAGTTTTTATTTCTTGAAAGAACAATTAAAGTACAAGACACAGCAGAGTATCCTAACTAGCCCACATGAAGAATGGGTTAGCTAGGATACTAAAAACAGTATAGTTGGGAAGATTCTAATTCCCAGCCAAAGAAGGAAACCAGGATTATCTTTGAATAAACTGTAATGTGCCTATGAAGTCATGGCCTCAATTTAACAGCCTTACATTAAGTAAAAAAAAAAAAAATTACTGGGTATATGATGTATTTGAGGGCAAATATTGTTTATGATGTACGCGGTATAGACAAATTTTTAGAACTAAATACACCTTAAAAGCTAATATTTTTAAAATACTTTGGCTATGATAATTTCTATTTGAAGAGTTGCACAAGGAACTTCAAGGACTTTGTTTCCAACTAGCTGTTCTAGTTCTTTTCTGGGTATGCGAAGGCTCTTATATAGCTTGTTCATTCTATATTAGAGCAGCTAATATCTGAGATTTAAGTCCTCCTCCTTTTGGCCTTGTCTTCATCTATTCAGGCATGCTGGCTGGCTGCCACTGCTCTGCAGCTGTCTAAGCTCTGTCTCTGTTGCTGGGGCAGTAGCCACACTGTGTAACCTTAGTTTGACCACAGCTTGGATTCTGTCCTTTGCTATTGCTTTCTGATCTTATTTTATGGTTGGATTCCAACCTGTTCCATAGTATATTAGCTGGAGAACTTCAGATTAACCCAATGCTCTAAAAACCACTGTGGTGTCAGTGTTACGAGAAGCAAAAATCTCTAGGATAAGGGATAAATGACTTTCCACAGTAGACAGAACCACTACAAACGAAATGAAAACCTATGTTTAAAGCAAAATATTTTACTCACATGGAACTGTAAAGTAAGTAATATGGATACAAAATTCAGAATAAGCTTCTGCATCAATAAATGCAGTGTCAGATTATTTCAGATTTCCAACTCAAATAATCCTGTTAATATCTTAAATGCATTGAATAAAGCTGAGATATCCAAGAGGTACATGGATACACATTTTCAGAACAAAGGCACACGAAAATATCCAAGACAGCTTTACCTGGTCAACAGCATGGAGTACTGTTGTATGATGTGCATGAGTCACAGCAAGTGACAATTCAACAATTTTATGGAATCCTGATTTGTCTTTGGGAGAAACTCAAGAAAGTTTTTTTCACTACTTTTGTCAGGAACTTAGTGATTAAAATATATTTTTAAATGTATTTTTCCAATTCCAGGGAATTTTTTTCTGTAGAGAACTGCAAGACAGAAACTGGCAGTACATTTCACATGATGCCATCATTTTTGTCTGTGTTCAGATGCAGCTTAGAGAACAACACAATTTCCCCTGAAACATATGAAAAGCAGTTCATCAGCAGACAAGGCATTGAGATGGGTTGGAAGCATTGACTCTGTTGCCTGGAACAAGAGTTTACACATATAGTTTACACCTGAGCCCTTCCATATAGATAGATGCCTAAAATGTCTCAATCCATCCCTAAGTCTCACCTTAGATCACAATATATTGATGCAGAATTCAAGCTATTTGACAAGAAATAGATATTTGACTACCAATTCAGACTTGTGCATCCAAAGACATTACTGACAATGAGACAACAACCGGCAATAAGATGTAAATGGGAAAAAAGAAACTTTTAATACTGATTTTATGGAATTAAAAAAAACAACAAAACACTGTGATCCTGGGGCATCAGCAGAAGTTCCATCAGGCCTTATTGCAAAAGAACAAGAAAGTTACCAAAAAGTAAGAGGACATATGTGAACACCTGCAAACACATATTTGTTAGGGAAAACAGGGTTTGGATTAGCAATCTGAGACCTTCCCCAAATAGACAGTTGACTGCTACTTCTTCATACTACGCTTTAGAACCACACACATAAATATTGTGTTTTCTTCTTCTTCAAAAGTCTCCTGGTGTTGATTTCTGCGTTAGGAGAATAACTTTTTTGGTATGTGTCCCCCACAACGTAGACACTCATTTTTGACCTATTTAGTAAAGAAAGTAAATACATTATATGTGGCAGAGGTGTGGGGGCTTTGCACCACCTAATTAGTGGTTTGTCTCAGTCTTGTTTTTTTTGCTCAGAGCCAGGATCAACAGAAACATGATGGAAACATTTTTTCTCGTGTTTGGGCTCGGATGTTTATTATATCTTACTAGAAAGTACAAAGCGTATGACAGCACTTCTAGCTACTTGCTAGAAGTGAGGAAAAATGGCCTGAGATGCAACTGCTACAAGGTCTTTTAAAGCTAAACAGTCCAATGGAGAATTAATACCTGTATTATTTATACTTTTGACCCAATAACTAGATTCTCATGACCCTTAGTGTGACACTGACTGACCAACCAGAAACTACTACCTGAAATCCATGAAGAAGAAGGAAGAAGAAGGAAGATGAACAAAGAAAGAGACAATGTCCCAAATCATTCATGTTGTCTCATACCTATTACTATACTATAAAAACCTCAAATTTAAAACCCATCACCCTGTAAAAGCACAGACTTCTAATTCACTGCACACTCATGATTTTTACTTCATTACTCATATTTAGAAGCCTTCTCCAAGGCCTCAGTTCAAAAGCAGTGTTCTCCAGGGGCTCTGTGCCAGAAAGCACAGAAAGCTCAAAAACCCTAGGTTTCTGGAATCCAACAATTATATACGGATGATTTTTACAGTTTTGAAGCATGCTAAGGACTAGTATTTCAACTATACTTCTGTTTCTAAGGTTTGCACTTTGTAAAAATATGATTATGCCAGAAGTGAATTGCAAAGTAAACTAGGATTTTAATAAGAAGATATAATGACATGAAGTGAAAGCTCTTCATGTATGATTTTGATCATATACTCCAGTGCTTTCATCACAATGAATAACAAGTAAAATACTGAAGATTATTTCTATGTACTCATGGTATTCAAGAAGTTAATTATGTTCTGTGAAACTGTTCAGGAGTTAGACTGCCATGTTACCTTAAGTGCAGAATATGATCCCATCAGTGTGCTTAAGTCCCATCATTGATATTTAATATTTTTGCAAACCCATCTACTCTCAAGGGCCTTATTCAAAATATTATAGCTGCAGAATGGTTCACATGTAGTTCGTTAGGCAGCCTAGCTCTCAAAAAAGGAGAGGTTTAGGTACCTCCGCAATGAAATTCAGAGCCCTTATGGGAGAAGCCTTTTCCTTTCTCCTGATGGTAAAGCAAACAGTTTTGGGAACATTCAGTCGTGATGTCTGAACAGTTAATCTAAGACCTGTGCCTATACAGAACAGATATATTCATCCCCTGAGACTTATAGCACTGAGTTAATATTTGAGCACAACCAGATAATGAAGGATGTCCCCCTTCATGCAAAATTAGCAAACTTAACCATAACAAGCTTCTAAGACCTTCCTCTGTTCAGACCTCCTACAGTAGTACCTAAATTTCAGAGAGTCATATAGCATGAGCCTGAGCTGAACTATTTATTTTTCACTTTTCCTGTTGAATATGGATCACAGCACAGAAAAAGACTGAAATACTCAAAGGATTCATAAGAGAGAGAAAAAAGTTAAATAGATCTGTTTCTATCCTAATTATAAGGCTGTTTCCCTCTGAGTGATGCTTTCTTGGTTCTGGCTCTGCATATTATTCTAAGTATTATTTGCACTGTTTACAGTGCAATGTTGTCAATATCTTTTTAGTTCATAATTACTGATGTATTGGATTCTTATATAATAAATATTTAGGCAGATTCTGGAATTTTATCTAAAAAGCAATTTTTTTGCTATTTCACCTTCATTTAAAAGAAAATAAAAATACATAAGTTAGAAAGAAAATTCTCCTGCTACCTAAGAAGTTTTGTAATCTAATGAAGTTAGGCATATCTTACAACACAATGGTAAACTTTGCCTTTTTATTTTCTTTGCTTTAGCAGTCATAAAATGAGATATGACAGAGCAACATCCTCAAAAGTTCAATACATAGAAGCAGGATTTACATACGGGTACAACTAATTCGTGTGCAGTATCATAGTAAAACAAATATTAGAACAATATATTAAAAAAACAAAACAGCAGTCACTTTTTAAGACTTAGAGACTGTTCAAATGAATCACATTATTTCTGCAACCAGCAACATAGAAACAGCAAATATTTTTTGGTAATGGATTTTGTGAATTTAATATGTTGCTTTCCTAGCTACTGTACTGTAACAACAAATACTATAACTGCTACTGTAATTGTAGCAACTAATACTGTAAAAAAAATTGATGCATGTGTTTTGCTCTATGTTTTTTCAGTATAAATGGAAAGAATTTTTTAGACAGAATTCTTGGAGGCAGATTTTTAAAAGCATCTTTCAAAGTAAATTGAGTAGCAAAAGTTTGTGTGGTTTTTTTGTTGTTGTTTTGTGGGGTTTTTTGTTGTTGTTTTTGTTGGTTTTTTCGTTTGTTTGTTTGTTTGGTTTAGTTTGGTTTTGTTGGTTGTTTGGGTTTTTTTTGTTTGTTTGTCTTGTTCAGCTCCACAATAATTAATATTTCCTGTGATCCACCTGAGTGGTTTAACAAAATAGACAGTTCTCAGTGGATCTATTCAAGCACTTTTCTGGTGAAAAGACGCAACTTTCTTTTTTGAAAAAGGACAAAAACTTATTTCCTGTACTCACTCTCACAAAAATGTCTCATACTCTCTCCCTATAACCAGTATAATTCTACAACAGATCACAACCTAGCAAGAAGAGTTTCCAAATGGTATCAGTTTCCTTGCATGTTCCCGCAAAATTCCAACGCTTTCTGTAGCCAGAAATTTGAGAATCATAAGGCTGACTTGACCAGAAAGATGTTTTTTAGGACTCTTTTAAAATGCAGCTACCAGAATAAACACCTTTTACTCATAGACATTGGCCTTTTCCTTCCTCTCTCTGTGCTCATGGTAAAGAAAACAGAAATAGTTCCATTATCTTAATATAAATTACACAAAATGAAATCACTTGCCCCACAGATAACCGTGGTCAGTGTGGTGGGTATACTATTGGTTACACGGCAGTAGAAACAAAGTAGCATGGAGGAAAAAAGGGCATGTAATTACTTTTCTATTTTGGCAACTGTAATTCAATAAAGGGCCATATTGCTCCTGGGATTTTGGTAAACTGTCTTTCAGGAGTAAAATCCTTTTTTACTCTATTGTAAAATTGAATCTGCCAAATTGCCTTTCTAACAACATCTTGAATATTACTTCAGAATATTCAGAATATTACTTCATACTATTCATATTATATGTGAATATTACAGGCATGAACTGCCACTGTATTTTCAGTGATATTAGACAAAGCACTGATCTGGGAGTTGAGTTCAGCAGTAACCTAGCTGAGTTGTTACCTCCCTTTTAGAAGAGAGACTTATTACCTCTCCCAGATTTCCAGACTGCTTTTCAATTATCTATTTATCTTGTACAGTTCTACGATTAACTGCTTCAGCTGATAACTGCCAGCTGCCTCAAATTCTCTGTGATGCCTGATAGAGATCTTTCACAGTCGAGTCTGTTCCTGTAGCTACAATGTGCTATGTTCTGTGTCACCGTGAGCTGCAAAATAAAACAATTTGATTTGTCCTAGAATAGACATGGTTGATGGTTACAGGGAAAACTAACCTCAATAGAAAGACATCCTTCGGCTATATATTATCATAGAATTCTACGTTCTATTTATATTCATATGAGTTTTATCACAAAACTTGAAGCACATATATATATCTCTTTCACTAACAGGACTAGGATTAAATTTTGTGACAGAGCTATCTGTGTATGTATGAAGGTGGAGTGAGACACAGGCTGACAATTACTAGCTGTTGATAGAAAGCTTACTAGATGATTTGCCAACAAAATATTCGTGTTAGTATCCTGTGTATCCCTTGGAGATGAGAAGAATACGCACGACACCAGCCTGCTTATGGACATGAGAGAAGTTCGAGTTGTGTATTTATGGAACCCAAATCAGTGCAGAAAAAATAAAACATAATCAGAATATAATCTGACGTAGGCCAGAGTGACACATGATCATAAATGTGGACCGTTTAGATTCAGACTCTGTGACAAGAAGACACAACCTGTAATGTAGCAGAGAAGTTCTAAGCTTGGAAG